TGAGTAATACTCCATTGTATAAAAATACCACATCTTTTTTATCCATTCCTCTGTTGATGGGCATTTGCGTTGTTTCCAAGATTTAGCTCTGACGAATTGTGCTGCTATAAATATGGGTGCACATATATCGCTGTGGTATTGTTTTTAATTCTTCTGGGAAAATACCCAGAAGGGGAGTAGCAAGGTTAAATGGAACTTCTAGCCCTAGTTTTGTGAGGAATCTCCAAACTGATTTTCACAGTGGTTTTACCAATCTACATTCCCACCAGCAGTGGTGAAAGGTTCCTTATTCCCCACAACTTCTCCAGCATTTGTTATGGGTTGATTTCTTGATAGTGATTCTTTCTGGGGTGAGATGGAATCTCAGTGTTGTTTTAATTTGCATTTCTTGAATGACTAATGATGTTGAATATTTTTTCATGTATTTATTTGCCATTTGTATTTCTTCATGTGACAAGTGTATATTCATCTCAAATGACCATTTTTCAGATTGAGTCTTTGAATTTTGAGGCCTTGATTTTTAAAAACTCTTTATATGTTCTAGATAGACATCCTTTGTCTGAGGGGCAGTTAGCTAAATTATTTTTGCCAATTTGTGGATTTTATTTTTACTATGTTGTTGATTTCTTTTGATGTGCAAGAATTTTTCAATAAGATCCCAGTTGTTGATTCTTCAAAGTATTTCCTGTACAGTTTGGTTTTTGATCATGAATTCTCTGCCTACCCCTATGTCTTCAAGGTTTTTACCTACTTTCTCCTCCAAAAGATTTAGTGTTTCTGTTTTAATATTAAGATCTTTGATCCATTTTGACTTTAGTTTAGCACATGGTGATAGACATGGGTGTAGTTTTAGTCTTTGGCATGTGGAAACCCAGTTTTTCCAGCACCATTTATTAAAGAGGCTGTCTTTCTTTCAGTGAACATGTTTGGCCCCTTTGTCAAAGATAAGGTGGCTGAGTGTGTTTGTCATTATGTCTGCATCTTCTAATCTGTTCCATTGATTTTTAAATCTGTTTTTTTTGCCAGTACTATGCTGATTTTATCACAGTAGCTTTGCAGGATAATATCAAGTCAGGGATTATGATGCCTCTTGACTTGCCTTTGTTTGCCCAGCATTGCTTTTGCTATTCCAGGCC